GGAAATAGGATTGCGTTTACTTAACATGTCGTATCTTCTCCCTTAGATATTTAAATACGTATTTATCAAATTTATCTATATCAATATTAAGATATATCAACATCAAAGGCATGGTTGATCGTTTGAAAACTAGAAATGAAACATAATTATTCACGTTGTCCTGGATATCCTCCTGTCCTCTCCTGTCCTGGATATCCCCATGTCCTGGATATCCTCCAGTCCTGGATATCCCCATGTCATGGATATTCTGTCTTGAATATTCTGTCCTGGATATCCTCATGTCATGGATATTCTGTTCTGGATATCCCTATGTCAGGGGTATTCTGTCCTGGATATTCCCTTGTCATGGATATTCTGTTGTGGATATCCCCATGTCATGGATATTCTGTTCTGGATATCATTCTGTCCTGGATATCCTCATGTCATGGATATTCTGTTCTGGATATCCCTATGTCAGGGGTATTCTGTCCTGGATATTCCCTTGTCATGGATATTCTGTTCTGGATATCCCCATGTCATGGATATTCTGTTCTGGATATCCCCATGTCAGGGATATTCTGTCCTGGATATTCTGGATATTTTGTTTTGTCTGGCTAGCCTGGCCTTGAAGGTGAGGTTGGCTGGTAAAACTCTGTGTCAAGGTGAAAATGGAATTCCCACAGCAAACTTTCCAGTCCAGGAGAACCATACCAGAGACCACAATTTAATCAACTTATCAATACTTAACTTAAACTGAGCTTCAGTAAAATTGAGTTTCCATTCCGAATATACCATTCCAGAGTCTACAGTTTAATCAACTATGCAATTTTAAATTCAAGCTGAACTTAATTTTAGTTCCAAGTCTATAAGAACCATACCAAAGTTTATTCGCTATTTCAACAATTCAACACTGAATTTAAGTTTAGTTTCCTCTCCTGGAAAACAAAAACAGAGTCTACAGTTTAATCAACTAATTTAAAATTCAATACTGTACTTAAGCTTAATTTCCAATGAACTTAAGGTGAGTTTTTGAAACCAGGAGTGTCGAGTGCTGTATTAACTAAACAAATTTGTTAAAGGGATCTGTAAACAATGTTTTTAAACTGTTTTAGTTTTCTTTCTTTTCTCCATTAAGTTCTTTGGTGTTAGAATAACTTTCAAGGAACAATTTATCCAAATTCTAGTATTTTCATATAACTGTGGTGGGTCATAAAGATGCGTCTTTTTTTGTATGTTAATTTAGTCCGGGTAAAAACTTAAAAACACCCTCCAACATTTATTTTAATTCAAAATATCACTTAATAATATCGAATCAGACTCTTAGTGGCGTCATAGTTAAGAAATGAATTTTGACAATTTTCTATTGAAATATAATTAATTCCCATGTTTACCCTTCCCTACTGCTGGTATTTCTGTGGCCGATTTATTGCAAAATATTTATTTTTCTGCAGATCAATTATTGCAAAACATGAATTTTCTGCAGAAGTTTGGAGAAAATTGGAACAATCCAATATTCGGTATTTTGGGGTTGCTAATAACAGATTTGGTGTTGTTAAAACCTCCTTTTTAATGTTAAAAAAGATAGAGGACAATAGAGAGGATAGAGGACAATAGGGGGGATAGAGGACAATAGGGAGGATATAGGACAATAGGGAGGATATAGGACAATAGAGAGGACAGAGGACAATAGGGAGGACAGAGGACAATAGGGGGGATAGAGGACAATAGAGGGGATGGTTGGAGGGTGAGGGCGCATAGCTTTATGACAATAGACAATTGCTAGTGATTTTATTCTTTTAATAGAAGATAACACTGAAATTGCATTACTTTTTTAAAACCTATCGGTGCGGGGGGATATTTAAGATTTATCTTGTATATAGTTCTAGTGAGATTGGAGGAGAGTAGAAAAGATGGATTAGAAACCCAGAAAACATTGCGAGAAAATATATTATAGAACATACATTTTCATTTTTAGATATATGTGTAAAGTCGAGAAGGGGGGGGAGGAGCTTTCACCCTCTCCGCCTAATCCTTTGTGTAAGAGCTGTAAAAAACGCACGGATTAGCTTGGATAGGTGTGGCAATAAAAAGAGAGTAATTTATATCACCCGGCCCTGTAGAGAAAAGAAAGGGTTTAAAACATTTTAAAAAGGTTTTTAGAAGATGTTGAAACACCCAGTATAGAAATTATGTTTGGCATTTCGAAAAACCCGTTTGAAATTAAAAAACCAATGTTAGGGATACGACCTCAACAAATTTTGTATTTCTAACATATTCTGTTTTGATCAATTCTATTTGTGAATTCGGAATGCTTTCGATAGTTAGATATTTCGAACAAAATATTAGATATTTCGAACAAAATATGGCGTTTTATTACAGTGTAGAGTTGGAAAGGAGAGACAGGTAAATCGGCTAATCATACAACAGATCTTCTCCAGATTGGATAGATAGATAGATAGATAATTAGATAGAAGATAGATAGATAATAAGACAGTTAGATACCACCTACTAGAGAATTAAGTGTTGGTAAAAACAGCTGTAGAGAGAGAAATATAAATTGCAGTTCTTAAAAAACCGGTTTCACAGGCTACGCACACTACACCACGCATATTTACTATACAGGGTTCTCTAAACTGTACTGAAAACTGTACTTAAAGAGTAAAAATGTTAACTATATTTTTTTAAACTGTACATTGAATGTACTTTCAACTGTATACATTAAATTGTACTTAAGAACATGCTCTCAAATGTATTTAAACTGGAAACTGTAAACTAACCCGACCACGTATCTTTACAGTAAAATATCTAACATTTAAAAGATTATTATTGTTTAAACGAATCAACCGTAACGTCCATATAGCAAAGCCAATGAGATGTCCTAAAAGATAAAAAAATATCTATCTTAGACCTTTATGAGATTAAAAGAAATTAAATTAATTTGTATTTGACAAATATGAACAATTCTTGGATCGGAAGTTTGGAATAAAAAAATCAATTTTGCTCCCAAGTTATTTGATACAGTGATAACCAGAAAACTCTGAAATAGGAAGTCGACTTTTAGACTTACAATATGGCTTTAAATAATCCAATGAACATGAGACACAGCAATTGAGCAGTGCTAACAGACCCATTTCACTTCATAAGTGATTTAATAACTTTCTAGTAAAGCTATTTGCTTTGAAACAAAGGCGCTTTAATATTGCGTTAATGTCGTCTTCCTATTCTACAGTCTTCTGGGTATCACTGTAATTAAACCCTAAAACATTAATTTTCCCGGCAAAGCCATTTTTGCAGGCAAAAAAAAATCATAAAAATTTACATAATTACATTATAAGAAAGTTTAAANGTATTTATTTGTATTTTAGCCCATTTATCTGAAAGCGGAATGCAGTTTAAAAATTAATCTAAATTTTTGTTGTTCAAAAAACTTGTTTCTTAAAGTTGGACAATGGACATATCAAGAAAGATCTAGTTTGAAAATACAAAATTAGATTTTTTTGCTTACATAGTACTTTCCCTAGATATCTATAAATCAGCTAATTTTATCGATTAGCAAAGTTTAATGTTCATCAAAACAGCTGAGACAGCAGAAATTAATTAATCAGCGATTATTAGCTTCCGGTTCTTCTTTTCTAGATCCTACAAAATATATTTAATTCAGAAAGAAAACGAGGAAGCAAGGGGATTGAAAGGGGTGGAAAATTTTGAAGGGAGGGGTTGAGAGTTTTGTAGGGAGGGTTGGAGAGTTTTGTAGGGAGGGGTTGAGAGTTTTGTAGGGAGGGTGGAGAGATTTTTAGGTAAGGGTGGAAAATTTTGAAGAAATGGGTGGAAAGTTTTGAAGTAAGGGGTGGAAAGTGTTGAAGGGAGGGGTGGAGAGATTAGTAGCGAGAGGTGGAGTGTTTTAAAGGGAGGGTGGAGAGTTTTGTAGGGAGGGTGGAGAGTTTTGAAGGAAGGGGTGGAGAGTTTTGTAGGGAGGGTTGGAAAGATTTGAAGGAAGGGGTGGAGAGTTTTGAAGGTAGGTGTGGAAAGTTTTGATGGGAGGTGTAAAAGTTTTGCAGAGAGAGTGGTGGAGAGTTTTGCAGGGAGGGTGGAGAGTTTTGAAGGAATTGGTGGAGAGTTTTGAAGGAAGGAGTGGAGAGTTTTGAAGAGAGGGGTAAAAGTTTTGCAGAGAGGGGTGGAGAGTTTTGAAGGAAGGGACGGAGAGTTTTGAAGGGAGGGGTGGAGAGTTTTGAAAGAAGATGTGGAAAGTTTTGAAGGGAGGGGTGGAGAGTTTTGAAGGGAGGGGTGGAGAGTTTTGAAGG